CCTCAGCCGCATCGGCCTCCTTATATAGTGTTCTTCCCGCCTTTAGTCATGTGACCTAGAGTGGTCACATGTGCGAAACTAAATCATAACAAACTAGTCATATGACCAAAGCGATCATATGCTCAAAACCCATGACCTCATAGCGAGGTCATGTGCGAAACTCCTAAACTAATCATAACGCAATAAACAAGTCATATGACTCGACTGAGTCATATGCACGAAACCCATGACATCATGATGAGGTCATGTGCGAAACATAAATCATATGCGCAAGGCTTACCCGTAAGGCACACTCATCATGCGCATGTCCCATAACTCATACTTGAGCCATGTGCGAAAGCATCACAACTCCCACACATAACGAAAGCATCACAAATCCCACACATAACTAATCATATAACCTGAATAGGTCATATGCGTGAAACAATAACATACCTGTGACTCATAACCATGTATCACGTGAAAACCCTTTCCTCGCTAAGCCACGTTCGTGACATTGAACCCTTATACTAGCAAGAAAGTCTCAGGGTAGTTTACTTTTTTTATCAATTTTTAAAGGTACTGAAAATTCGTCGGAATTTGGACGCGCTGTACCACAAGCTCCTATCCCATACTCTTGTAAAACCCAGAATAGGGATACATTGGAAAAATAGTTGTTACAGTAGAGAGTGAATGTAGTCATATGGGTACTCGGTTATTAGTTTTGTTTTAAGTATCGTTTGATACTTAGTTTTGTTTTATGTTTTGTTTTAAGTATCGCTTTGATACTTGGTTTGTTTTAAGTATCGTTTGATACTTAGTTTTGTTTTATGTTTTGTTTTAAGTATCGCTTTGATACCTGGTTTGTTTTACCAAAGAGTATCGCTTGATATCTTTGATTAGCTTCATTCATGCTAGACATAGACAAGATTTGTGCATTTAAAGACCGCCTGATCCTACAATAAAAAAGGCAGACTTTGACAGACAGTATTTCAATATACTTGGTTGAACGGTTACTTCTTTGTTCCTCAGTACACCCTCGAAGCCTCCTTTAGTTCTCAGCTCTCACCTCCTCTCTGGTAGAGCAGGCTACCTGCCAACTATCGTACCTTTACCAATAATATGACTAGCACCTTGCGAACACATTACAGTGAAAGAATTTGTTTTATAAGGGAGCTGTAGACACATTTTCATTACTGCTCATGAGGTTGGACTTAGCTGAATAGGCTTATCGTAATTTTCTGGATTCTCCAGTCCAGAAAATGAATCCACACATGAGGTAAACATAAAATCATAGGTATATACCTGCTCATATAATGCTAAAATATTGTATCCAAGTGGTACAGGCTTTCCTGGAATCTGGATGGTATGAAATGATCATCCTACAAATTGTACCATCATCTCGTCAATTGACACATCTGAGGCTGGAACCATAAGAGCCTGATAGCGTTCCTTCAGTTGATCTGTTAGGGGGAGCAGTTTTCGATACCAGCAGTATCGTGGGAGAGATATAAAGGACTCAGAGATATGCAAATAACGCTTTATTTGCTCGAATTGTTTAAGGGTTATATAGGAGGTAATCTTATAATCTCTTGTTAATTATAATGCAATTTGAAGATCTAACTCTATTAATAGGAAGAGGTCATACCTGTTTACAGGTCCATGGTCATCTCGACGCCAAAAGTTACTTGCCCTTCCACTTTTTGGTGCATGGATGCCCATATAAATCACAATTTCAAGCTAAATTTTCAGGTGAGCAGCTTGTACCTTATTCCACTTTCTCTTTCTACCTCTTTCAGCTTCCTTATACTCTGCATAGACATTCGTATTATGATACAATGCATCATAAATATGATTAGAAAAAAAGAGCTTAAAAAAGCTTCCTGGCTGTGAAACCTCTGTATTTCCCACCCTATGATAATATCCTGCAAGGACTCCTTTACATCTGAACTCTGGAGCATCTGGGAACGTAGCCAGTAACTTTACTCTTCGTCCATGTGGGGGCTATGGGTGGATGAATGTGGAAAATGGAGGAACAGTTGGCAAGTTGTACAGTCGCTGCTCTGATCCTGTCGGAATTGGTCCAAGTATGAGCATGTTTTCTAAAACGTATTAGCTACCTATTTCTGATAGTAATTGAACAGGCATAGCTAATACCCCCTCCTCCTCTGACTTCATGATCAGCAAGCTCATTTCGTGCTATCTCATCAGGCTCAGCTCCTAACCTATGACCCTGGATCCAGTCTGCCTCCTCTACGCAACTGTTATATGCGTTGGAGTCCATGGAAATTCGGGTTGGTTTCAGTTTAGGGAATTTGGAAAGAAAGACTTGAAATTGGAGTTGTCACGGTCACTGTAGTTTGTGTTGTTACAGTCCAGTTTGCCACCATCACCATGGTAAAAGATTTTTCTTATTACTTTTGTGAATATTACTAATGTCAGAATAGACAACTTGCAACTTTTCTTGTTCTGGCCGGCAACGCCGATTTCGGCTAATTGGATACACCAGCCACAGGCCTGAAAACGAAGCAAGGGATCATATCATACTCTGTGGGAATTGATTTCAGGTGCCCGGCCCCTTACATAGGATGTATGATAGTAGATCTCCCAGATTCAAAAAAATCTTCCTACCTATTCATCAATGAAATCTAGAAAACCAAGTGACATTTAGCGGAGATGTCTTGTAATATTTTAGTACTATTGACTTTCTTTTCCCTTTTCTCTGCCCCACGCACTGTTCCCGAGTTTTGGTCGAGTTCCATTAATGAGAATTCTGAGGTTGTTTCGGACCTCTTGACCTCAGTGCATACAGGCACTTGTATGCAAAATGAAATAGTATCCATGGTAAGGTATGATAGAGTGATGGTGAGTTAACCGCTCTTTTGTGTATCATACGCCGGGTTTACATGAAACAGCTGGTAAACTGAAAGGAGTATCACCTTTTGACCCTGAAAATCTTAGTTGGTCGGAGGACGCCGGTCTTCGGATTCTGGGGTTGTAAAACTTCACCTGGTACTATCCATAGGCAGCTTGGAACAATCTGCCTGTATCCTTCTTCAGGCTCAAAAATGTCTCTCTTGGCCTGACCATCGCAGTCCTCTGTCGTACCACAGTAAGAGCAAAGCTTCCGGACGGCCTACTGCATGAGTTGACTGCTGCTTTTCTAGATGGAAGTTGGAAGCGTCATCTGTATCGTAGTCACCGTTATTTCAGTCCGCCTTGCTAGATGAGCATCTCAGGCTCTATCTTTTTTCTTTCTTTCCTTTTCCTTTCCTTTTTTCCGGTGGTGGGGGGGGAGCATGCAATTGTGCCAATTTTTGTTTGTTGTCAAGCTGAGGACTGTGGATTGCGTTGTAGGATATGATTCCGGTAAGTATGATAGGAGTATCGTTACTGCATCGCAGGCCACATCGTGATAGTTTAGCCCCACTCACCACGGTGCTTCGCAGAATCTTGCTTTCCAATATGTCGGGATAGATACATACGGTGAATGCATGTACGACGCTCAGGGGTACGGGTGCAAGTACCGGTACGTCACTATAGACACGCAGGAGGGGCCGCCGAAATAAGAAAAGTCCGCCAGATGACTTTGTGGCTGCCGACCTTCGCTTGAGCCGCAGGGCTACAGTGAGGGCTAGAACACACGATCCGGATGTTGGGTTTACATGTTAGGAGGTGGGCAAGAAGCGTTTGCGCTGATCGGGTTGAGGTTTGTGGAGAGAGGAGAGAGACCTGCAGTCTGAGAGAAGCTTGTCTCTCTCGCTCTCTCGAGTTGAGTGGAAACCTTCCCATAGATTGATCCCCCTATTTGGGCGTGTCTTTCGACTTGAGGATCACTGGCCCGTTAGGAATGCTGATAGTGGAGGACTGGTGTGCGGTACAGGAAATTCTACTATTCTTACTGCAGATCGGCATGTGATTGTTATTTCCCCTACTCGTACTCGAGTGGGCCACTGGTAGGTTTGATCGCGGGAGGGTCGAGATCGATGGGTATGCTCGATTGTGCTCGAGTACGGTACTGTACTCGTACTGTACTGCATCTCGATGCTCTAACATGACCAACTAGAACTGAATATATCCAATGGGGGGGTATATGTTTGCCGTTTAATTACTCTATAATACAAGATTTAATATGGGAGATCATATTTTCCCAGAAAATTTAATATCAATAATACGCGAGCTGCAGTAACACCTAACTTCGGCGCCCCAGAAATCAGATGCGTGCGGAGGAATGGAAGGCGGTTGAGAAAAGGAGAAACCGAGACGTCAGCAAACACCTACGTGTTCTCCATCTGCTGGAGCATCCAGAGAGGGATACTCGTGATCCTCGGAAGAACCACATCTTGCTGCCTACCAGGATTTTCGTTTTGATCTTGATTTGTATTGTGATGGTCCTCAATTTTCTATCAAGGGCGGATTCTGAAGTGTGTCCATAGTGGAATTGGATGTTTCGTCACAACTTCCTTGGCAATAAAGTTCTTGGCAATGGACATCGGTAAAGTCTTATCGGAGGGGCTTTCCCAGCCTTACAAGCAACCGCCTCAGCGAAACAACTTAGGCGGGTGACGGACTGGGGCCAGTATCATAACAAGTGATTTTTTGTTACCCTACTTTGACAATTTCCTTTTTGCTCACCAAATACCGGTACCCCTGTTGGTCACCAGCCCTGTCTCATCGTGGGTACGGTTATGACTGTAACTGGCGCTGCGGTGATCTTTTCCTCTCCTTTCAAGGCTGGGGATATGGATTCACGAGAAAAAAAGGTGAGTTTTGGTTGTGGCTAGGGGGGGTAGGGGAAAGTGTGTGGGTAGGTTCGGTACCAAGTACGAGGCTCGAGCAGAGACCGCAGAGTTGAGGTTCTCCTTCCAAGCCTGGTCAGACGAGTCTGACTTCCTATCATAGCTTGATATATCATAGTTTTTATTTTTTTTTGATTCTCCGCCCCAATTCCAAAGTGTCGTCATTCCCACCGAGAACCCTGCCCGGGCTGCAAAATTGCATCACCGCAACAACTCCCTTCCCCTCCTCTGTACTGGGGGAGAGTCTGGTGTTTGTCAGAATACCGGTAGCAAGGGAAACGCCCTGCAGCCGTCAACTTTCAAGGAAATCAGCTGTCTGTGTCATCATGGGATCTGAAAGTGAAGATGGGTATATAAACGCCATGCCCCAGAACTGTGGACTCGACTTTCGATAATAATCACGGTCGCACCCTTCAATCAACTATCAGCTTCCTCTCAGGAGAACATCGCTTCTTGTACTGTACTGTACGCGTGCTGTAACACCTTTTCTCTCACCCGATCAAGCCATTCATCTCTAGGCCACTTAACAGAAAAAGCAAAGGAGAAACATGTAAGTATCATGGGCGGTTTTTTTCCTTCTCATTATCTCAGGCGCATTGCATCAAGCATCAGGTATTGGGCGGGCGAAATAGCCAGATACGGAAATATCGAGCCAGTGCCCAGTCTGAGTGGTATGCCTTCTTTTATTTGTTGCTAACACACACTTTTTCTACCACAGACCGCAAAACACATTCTACAAGTTTGCTCTGTTACCTTTCTCGGACCGCCGCATAACTTTGTTGTTCACTCAACCCCGCTTTTCTCTCGAGGAGGTTTTTTAAAACCCCCTCATCCGTTACCAAAGAGCCTAGTTTTCCTTCGCTCTAGAAACCCGCCACCAGCGAATCCTTTATTCTATCATTTTTGGAACTCCCAAAAAAAGAAGTCTAGACATGGCAAGGTACACTACCGCAGACCCCTACATGGGAGAAAGAGAACGACAATATCTTTCAGATCGTGCTCTTGATACTCAGATGGCTGTATACTCACCTGATACACCTTTCAACAGTATTTCTACTATCACTCCATACACTTCCTACGGAAACCCGCATACTTCCACGGGTGCCCTTGTACGCGGCGGTGTTATCGATGAGCCCGTTGTCGAACATGAACACCATCACGTTCATCACCATATCGATCATGGTAAATATCTCCTTCTATCCATTCTTGGGATTTGAATCATCATGTTGATTTCGGCAGGCAATCCGGTAGCCGGTGCTCTTGTCAGGCCCCGTGTTGCACGCGAGTATTCCTATGACGACCTTCACGACCGTGAACGCAGATATGGTAGTGGTATGAGCTTGGGTAGTTTTGGCCACCACCATGGCCACCACTATGGGCACCGTCATCGTGGGCTCCTTGGGGGCCGGTTTGCCCGATCAGATATCGATCTCAACCTGGATGCATCATATAGGCATCGGCGAAGAAGCATCTATGATGATAGAGATTCGGAACTTGCAATTATTGATGTTCCTGCTGGAACCCGTCGAGTGACTGTCGACATGGGTCGGGAGGTTGATATCAACTGGAGGCGGGATAACGGCGTTCGGAGATCAAGGGGATTGGGGAGTGAGCTCTGGACCGAGATCACTAAGGACCTTGTCACCAGAGAGGCCATTGAGGAATGCGGATACCCGTATGAGGAAACTGAGTTCTTCTACTATATCTTTGATTACCTGCACCGTGAGCAGATCAACGAGTTAGTGGATCTCACCCACGAGATTCGCAGACGTACGTTTTAATCCATAGGGAAGCCCCGGGTAATCCATGGTGCTAACTCTCAGTAGATCGTATCCGAGACCTTGAGTATGAGTCGATTGGCGTAGGTCACCCTCGCTTTGACAGGCGACTAGATTACGATCGCGAGGAGACTCGCACCGAGATCGTTATTGAGGGTGGCCACAGGGGTCATCGCCGCCGCAACCGCTATTACTACTAAATGCTTCCCCTGAACGCTGTATTGCGTTCGATATTTGATCAATTTAACGACGTGACGACCTAGATTGGTTTTTTCCTTCCGGTGTTTCGTCCGAGGGCTTTTTTTCTCCTACAAATGTTTTCTTTTTACATCTCACTTTTGCAAGATTTTTCAACCATTTTCGTTTTCTTCTGGCCGCTGCACTTACTTGTTCCCGAGTTTAGTGTCGTGCCTAGTCCAATGTATTTCCTCTTTTTCTTTAACGACTTTCCGTTTTCTTGTCCCAATAGTATTCCCTCTCTATTCTACTCGTATAATGATCTTGTAACCGGTAGTGGACACGTGATGATGGCGAACATGTTTTCATCTTCTGTAACTTGGGGGAAAGGGAAGTGGGTTAAATCTTCGTGGAATCGTACATTTTCGTTCGCAATAAACTTTTTGTTTCCGTCAAACACAGTTATTGCCTGTGCCGGTACTGTAAGAGTGGGATCTGATACGGTATTCTCGAGTGAGGTGATAGGATGGGGTTGCAGAGGCAGGCTGAAGCTTCGCGCTTGCGCCTGCACTCTTGACTCGCTGATTAGATCGAATACGGGGCGTGGTGGCTAAACGGTGGGTGACTGGGGCCATTGGCAGTTGGGCTGTATCATGGGTGGATGGTGGGGTTCAAGCCTTGGTTGCTCGAATTCCCAGCCGACGTCATGTCGATTGATTGATAGTTGCTCTGACAACTCAGTTAGGGAATCAGATCTAAACCAGTAGAACCCACTTGTGTACGGGATTAGTATCGGTGCCGTAGACCACCTTTGCTCAAAATATAATATATTTAACTTTGCTCGAGCACAGCCTATCATCCAGTACCTTGACCGTGTAGCAGCACTATTGGTATGATGGTGGGTCTACCTGACTGCCTGTCCTAGTATATCGGCGAAGCGAATCCGTCGCAAAACGCGCTTGGATATTGACTGCCCCGGGCTCCCCCCGGTTGCTCCTTTTCTCCCTCCCTCCTGCCGGGAGTAATCCTCTTTTTTTTTTCAACAAAGAAACGGCCTGCAAACCCCTCCCGCAATTATATTCTGATAATAATTCGATCCCGTCTTTGCCCGATACCCCAGTCAACAAGCGTACACCCCTATCGTGCATTGTCACATCCATCATGAGTGGTAGAATACACCTTTACCTCATTACCTTCAACTGTGCCCTGCTTCATCACGACGTCGCAACTCTTTCTTCGCATCTCCTCTCCGGGCTTGAATCCCCGTCCTTCAAACCGGACTTGATAGTTCTCTCACTACAAGAGATAGCTCCGCTTCCTACTTCCTTCCTAGGTGGGCCAACTCTGACAGGATATTTCGAAACATTCTCGACGGCAGTGAAAGCCGCTACAAGGAAGCAGTTGGGTGAAGACTATGCTCTAGTGGCGAGGAGTAATGTTGGGTTGACAGGAATTATGGTGTTCGCGAGGAGCCCGGCGAGGGTTGGGGAGATACGGTACGCTGGCGTTGGAGTGGGATTATGGGAGATGGGGAATAAAGGAGGTGTTGGAGTCAAGGTTTATTACAATGCCATGGATGGGGGCACCGATGGGGGTAGTGGTAATAAGACGGTGGAAATAAACTTCTTAGCTGTGCATCTTGCTCAGGGTGAAGAGAACGTCCATCTGCGAAACGAAAACTGGGGCTCGATTGTGCGGGGGCTTGTTTTCGATATTGTGGGAAGGGGAAGGGGGAATTCCGTACCAGAGATCGGATCGGTCTCTACCCGGAGTTTATCATCTTCTCAACCAGATCCAGCACCTTGTTCAGGATTATATTCACCCACGGCTCATCTTTTCGTCCTTGGAGATCTCAACTACCGTACAGCGGACTCCAAACCTGTCGGGCCGGAATTTATTGTGTTTCCACAACCGGATGATCCTCCCTCGTCGAACAAACACTACTCAAACCTCCTCGGACATGATCAGCTCACTCCACAAAGAAAGGCAAATAAAACACTGCACGGCTTAGAAGAAGCTTCGATTACCTTCCCGCCTACGTATAAATACCACATCTCAAAAACCTCACCAGACGATCACAGCTGGAATTGGGCACCACTTCGATGGCCGAGCTGGACGGATAGGATACTTTATCTTCCATCAGAGAACCTTCGGGTTCACAAATACACCTCTATCCAGGAAATCAAATCCTCAGATCATCGGCCTGTCGTTGCACACATATCTATTCCTGCCGAGCCCCTGAGTGCTAGTGACGGATGGAGGGTTCGTCCACCATACCAACCTGATGTCGAGGGATGGAGACCTGCTCGAGATGCAGCTAGGAGGAGAGAAGTCATTATGGGGTATCTAGTCTATTTGTTTGGAACTCGGGCAGGCTGGGGCGTTCTTGCCGCGATTATTGCCGGAGGATTGGGCAGTTGGTGGGTGCTCAGAGAGCTGATTGTTCGTCGAGCCTAGGGAATGCCATATTAGTGAGTTGGGTGGTGCTTGTCGTTCGCTTGCATTGGAGGGATTTTACTAGTGATTCGTGAGAGTTGTGGAGAACTTAATATTTCTGTTGAGGCCAACAGCGATTGATGCAGCGTGAATAGTGTACTTAGATGAAAAATGCATTGCCCCATCAACCATGATGACTACCTGTAATGAGTTGGAACGTGGTACAATATATTTGGGTCGGGTGTATCTGCTGCACCTTTCCTTATGAGCTCCTATGATATCAGTTTTTATGTGAATCAAGTGATTCTACTGTACACATGTCAGACATCTCACCACAGCCAGCAAGCTTCCCCCGGGAGATGGTACTGATCAGTGCCGTAATCATATTCCAGTAGGACAACGTTCAGGTTCATTCTTGCACTTTAGCAGCCAGCAGATTACTCATAATATTCCATTGAGCCACCTTTGTCGTAGCATTTTTCCAATACTAAAAGGTTCTACAGCACTTTTCGTTCCTCGTATAATAAGTACCTACCAAGACTATGCTTCCAATTGATACGCAAAAATACCGCATGCGGGTCAGGGCTTCCGAAGTGTGAGTGAAGTAAGGGACCTCTACAAGTTATGTCACTACCGGGGGAGGGGAGTAGGAATCATATGGGACTGGTGCTCACGGTTACTGGTGTGCTACAAAAGCTCAGTATTTGTGGGTAGGAAGGAGTGGTGAGGGGTTGTTATTGCTTGAGCTTGGATTCCACCACTGCCATCACTGGTATCTGCGGGCTTTGATACTTTTGGGGTTTTTCGCCTGGGGGGCATTGGTTCACTGCCTTGTGCTAAGGTTGAGGAATTTTGTAAGCTCTTCTTCCTGGTTGCCTAATGTTGGTTAGCTAAAGTTTGGTTTAGTAAGGCTTGCCTATGGTTTTTTTTGGTAACTTAGGCGTCGTTGATATGATGTAGGTCGAAGTATCACTCCAACATTTGCTCTCAATAGGAACTCCTCCTGGAGCAACGATGAGGAGGGGATTTTGCGGGGTGAAAAAGTGTAACTCATTCTGAAGGCAGGGTATTTCTGACGCCTTTTGGGTGATCCCGAGGGAACACTCTAGAGGTATTGCTCCGATCTGGATTTTGGTTTTCGGAGTCGAATACTTTACTAAGTTAACAAGAATTACAAACTGGTTGACGGCGAACTCTTCCCTACGGATTCACAGTGGGTAGGGGGTTCGTAGGGGTGGGTCTTGTTCTTGAGGGCTTACTGCCTGTTTCTCTTATAGTAACGAGTACACACATTCTTTGAAGATCTATTTCTTAATTTATCGCTTTGAAGGCAAGCATCTATTAGGTGGGGTTTCTTGGTGTTTCTCGAACATAATTTCAACCACCGCCGGTCGAATATTCAGATGTCGGTGGATAAATCTGCGGAATTATGAGGTTCAGGCTTTGGTTGTTTGTGTCCACTAACGGGTATCATACCTCAGGCATACCTTCTTTCGGTATAATAACCACGAGCACCAGAACTCCTGGTACCAACTTGCTTGCCTATGTTAACAATTCATACTCCCCCTTATGATATTTCCGGAAAAGGCTTACCGGAGGCCCTGAGCTATGCTGGCTGTTCCCGACGGCTTCGGTCGAGCTAAAATCGTAAGTTCCGCATTATCAAGAGGCGATCGCTGCCTTACAACCTGATTTGGATACGGATACAGTCCTGCTCCAGTAGCTTGACCCTACAGACTAACAGATCCCGACTTCACTGATATATATGCATAGGATTGATGTTGGCTTACCAGTAGGGTGCCTAGGTGTATGTTTGGGGTCGCTGATGCTAATCATGTAGCAGGCGAGGGCCCATCAAAAGCGCATCGCTGTAACCCGAGGAGGAAAACCCGTTTCGGGTGTGGAGAATTCATTTTAATCTTGTAGGTAGTATACTCCTCGGTCGTTGGCCTACAGCAAAGCGTGAGACTAATTACAAATTAGCACAATACAGCATAATAGTATTATATGTCTTGAGGTGGATAACTAGAAGCTGAGAGCAAACGTTTCGACATCTCCTCTAGACCGAGGCTCTATAGAAATGGAAACCCGTACTTGGATCGGAATTGGTGGTCTTGCACGGCGCCGTTATAGGTTGTGTTGGCCAATCTTGATCTCCACCCGCAGCTCTGTTAGGGGCGGCGTGGGTGGGGCATTTTGTGTGGATGCTCCCTGGTATCTTGAAGCAGGACAAAAATAGAGGTTGTGCACGATGCTCCTCGCGTTTTCCTACTATCAGGGTGTTAACCAGTAGTGTGCGGTGCACTAGGTGATGTCGACGCCTGACATAGCACGTCGCACCCATTGAAAATTAACCCAAATAATTGGGATCCATCAAATTTAGAGGCGTTTATTCGACACATCATACATAAAGGTTGAACATACATAACCTCTAATTTCCGAACTCTATTTTTGCCGAGGAAATGACAGCCTTCTGAAAGCTTACTTGCAGGAAAGCGCGAACGATGTGCTTCCATGGAGCACTCTAGATTTTGCAGAGAATGCATCTGGGGCACGTATCAGCATTGCTCATACTACACATTGATATCAATTCAGCATAGCCTTCCTCTCAGTGTTCATAACAAGAATCGATGTTTCTCATAGCAGATGCCGTTGCGGCATTCCGGAAACACATTGGTTACCTAAATCTTGTGCCGGCAGCAGCATCAATACTGGGTCCGCATATTTGCTGAAATTACCAAAGCGGCCTCACTGGTAGTATGGCTATTATCGGTGGACCAATCTTTATCGGTAAGATATTCAGGTGTTGCACCTGAGTATTGGATGAACTACCGTAGGAACTGGAATGGTTGAAGCTTTCTCCAAAGTGCCGAGACCTTATTGGGAGAGGAAACCCCCACATTCTAGTGTTAGGTGGAATTATTCCGGTTCTTACCGAGAACCAGTTTAACTAATATCTGGACACTCTTCTCCTATCTTAGTAGGAATACTAACAAAAAAAACCACGGGAGGGTATACTGGTGGTTGATGATTTCCTACCTAATTTTACTCCGGAAATCTCGGCTGGTCTCCCGTTCATCCTGGCTTGATCCGTCTGGCAGTTTCCAGGACGTGATTCAAGCACGATAGCCTTATGAACAATATATTGAGTGGTAATTGCGCGAATCACTATTTCCTGGCTTTGGAGATCATGGTCCAATAGGCGAGGATTCCGGTTTGCTCAGCTGGTCGTTCAGCACGGCCATGCACATACGATCCCGGGGGTCAATAATTGACCCAAGCTGAAGTATCCGAGGCTCCTACCCCTCCTTTTTTGTCCACACACACCTTCAAGTTCCCAATTCATACAGTACCATGTATCCGTATGCACAAGTGCACAAACTTTGAGGCGTGGATGAGCGAGCCAAAGGGTGAGATTGCACGAGGATGTCAATGAGTGACCGCAGCCCCCTAGGCCGCGCACATAGCACAACCTTAGCAAACGCGGGTCTAGCTGAGAGACGGAGACTGGAGACTGGAGACGCTTCTCGAGTGACAATGTCTGGCGCAGACTTTTATGTATGATCCTCTCCTTTCGACTTTTTAGATCCGGTTTTTTGATTCTTGGTGTGAAGAACCTCGGGGAAGCCATATAAGCAATCTCTGCCAGGTATTGAACGTTTTAACGCCCCCAAGCTCTACCGCACAAGCTATCGAGAGGGTGTTTTCTGTCTGGTGGGGTTTCTCTTGTATACCGGTAACTCCATAAAAAATTTTAGTGCCAAGCCACAAGGCTTCGATTTCTCACTATGACTACTTGTACACCGCGGTAGAGCCTTATCATAGAGCAAATACCTCTCAAACTGGGCACAAGCTGCTAAGCGCGACAGTGTGTGGTTCGCTGGATACCCAGTGCGTCTTTCCTCCATCAAGCCTTTTATGTGTCATTAGAAGTAGTATGTGGGGCTTTAGTGCGAAAGTACTAGGAAGGTGAGGTATGATATATATCACTATCACCATAGTTTTTAGACCAAGCTGACTTTATCAACCCTGTGGAACTTGCCGCCTTATATGATAGTGTCTCTGTTAGAGAGGTTTGCATTATTCATCTCCCGAAACGCTTAGGCATTCTGGGGGCTTTCCCTATAGCTCTGGCAAAAGAGCGTGTTGGGGCTTGAAGGCTGAAGAAACGACCTACTTCTAATGCTTTTATAGGCCGTTTCTAGGGACCCTCACCATCTAACGCCCTACCGCACGTCACGCTATATGGACGCTGAACCGGGGATAACCACTTTTTCCCTGCAATATGCGGTGGTATCATGCACTAGAATTAACGCACCTGTCGGTTGTTCACCGCGTTTTTCCATGAAACCTGGGGCATCGAGTTGGGTGGTTGGGAAAGGAGTTTGCTCCCACTACTTTGACGCATCCAGTCAAGCTCTTCACTTAGCCACTGCAGGAGAAATTGTGAGGCACGAGTTAAGTCCAGACGGACTGAGACATAGACTTGGTAAGAGAGAGAGGTTTCAGCCGTCAGACTCCGGAGGACGTTCTAGAGTTCTCGATAGCAAAATTGGTCAGCCCGGTGTTGTTCCAGGAAGTCTTCGGAGTAGAGCTGCCTCCCAGATATCATGCCTGTATACCCTTCTTGCAAGTCAATCATCAGATACAGCCTGGATCAACACCTATCTTTATAATTATCTAAAAATGATATGGAATCGACACTTGAGTGGCCTCGGCAAGAAATTATCCGCCGTGCGTGGCATCCAACGGCTGTCGAACTTCCAGCTGTTAACGCTCTTAGCCGGAAGCCTTATGTAGGCATAAGGTAGATTGCTCAGGAGGAGTTCTGGGGCTATCAATCTCCGCCTCAAGGTGGACTTGGAAATCTTGAAATGTGCAGCGATAGATACTTGCACAGTGTGATAGGGTTGCTGTCCAACAACGTGCGAAAACTTGCGAGTCACTACCGTTGCCATAAAACGTTTATATTTGTACCCCCACAAAAAATTCACTACTCGCAATCACCTGAACTACTGATATTAGTGCTTTAATAACTTGTTACTGCCATACCTCACTGGGCCGCTACTAGAAGTCTACTGGTCCCAAAGGTTATTACTTGGTACCCAGAGACCCTACCATTCAACCGGAACATTATACCATCGTAATAGACATAGACTAGCGCTGCTCTTCTGCCAATACAGGAACTTTGCTAGGGAATAGTAAACTGACATAGATATTCGGACCTTCTCAGAATGAAAATTTGATCCAATACGCAAAACCAACGACTCTATTTCTACACTGCGAAAACATGTGCTGTAGTCGATATTCTAGTTGTCCATTGTGTAACGGCGTGCTGAGCATCATGTACGACTACATGGGAAGCCACACCCGGCTAGAGGCACAGGGGGGGCTCAATCCTCTTAATAATTCCATTCCTGTTATCCCTTCCGCTCACGACATGAAGGCTGAGAGCTGCTTAGATGGAAGATGAAGGGCAAAGCGCGCACGTAAACCGAGTTCTTGAGAATGAGATCCGCACCGCCCCCCGGTAGGAAGCGTGATATTCTGCTGCCGGCATCATATCTGGGAAGCCGGCTGCCTAGCTAAAAGTTCACCTTTTTCTCCCCGGAAAACCGATAGTTCTCCGCCTGATGCTTTAACTTGACTGTCTAACCAATTTCGATTGGCCGAGAGTATAGTTATGCGGACCTTGGGAAGTCCTTTCTGCGGAAACAAGATGCCCTACTCAATGCCTACGATATCTTAGAGGGGCACTCCCGTCAGGGAGGGATGGGTGGAGGATGCGCTTATATCCGGTGTGCTCTAAGAGTTCGTGAAATAACTAGAATGCGGTTAGGTAATTCCAGCTCCTGCATGCATAGATCTGGAACATGGCGGTCGATTGCCAGGTTCGGAGATGCTTCCTAGCCCTATGACAATTGTACTAACGCAGGAACAGGCGGGCCCGTATTACCGCTAGAGCTTTCTTCCCTCCACGGCACTCCTCCCCCCCCCTTTCCCTTCCCTCCGCAGCTTAGCGGGCTGCAATAGTGAGGTTTCTATTTGGCAGCCTATATAGCACTCACTCCAAGTCAACTGAGGTCCGATTAGATGTACGGGGAGATATCTAGACATCACTTTACCACAGCACAGCCTTTCCATCCTTCATCCCACGTACCACATACCAGGTTCTATTCGAGATGGGAGTGCACTACTCGCCCCGCTTCTCACCACATTCGGGATTCCCAAGACAGCGGATACTACAACCCCGTTACATCATGGCCATTCCCACCGGTCCAAAAAAGAAAAAAAGAAGGGAAAAAAAAGAAATGAGTGGGAAGTGGCCCAGCTCCCCTGACTCTCATCATGGCTTCGCCCGTGGGAGTCGGGCGTCAGGGAGCCTTAAGATCCCAATACATCTAGTGCTGGGGAAACAAACCGCGTTTCCCACTCCTTGAGGCAGGCATTAAGTTGGTGCCTTGATGTCTCCTGGAGATGAGTATTAATACGCTCCAATCTCCCCTTCGAGATCTCTTGTCTATCACGAAATATCCAGTGCCCCAACCCAAAGGAAGAGCTGAAGCCGTTCGAGATCCCAACCAAACACATCTCCCAGAAAACCAAACTTTAATTATTCATTCCCCCAGAAGCCCGTTCCCCTTCTTCCATTGTCCTCCTATCCACCCACTCCTCTATTATCATCTCCTTTTCTCGCCGTACGGAGACCACACTCTACTATTTCACAAAACCTCCAGAATCCTTACGAAATTCGCTTTCAAAAAACCGAGGACAAAAAAGGAAAAGCATCATCACCACCTCCACAACAATGTCTTCGAGAAACACACCATGCCCCGTCTGCCTCGACCTTGGACACAGGGAACCTTCTCGGGGTACAGGTCGCCCTAGAGGGTGCTGGTGCCCCCAAAACGAAACGAGGGAACGGATTTGGTTCTGTCATATATGCCAGAATGAGGGTCGAAACCCCTGTTTCCTGATCGAGAGAATCAGTCCCAAATGCCAGCACCCCGAGTGCTCACACGAAGTTTGCAACAGTTGCAGGCGTGAATGGAGTGGATAGGAGGCCCCAGGCTGCCCTATCCCCACCGGTTTAAGTGCGTCCCCGGATGGGTGGGGTGTGATGGACCGCTAGGAGGTTGGTGAGGGTTCCCAGGACGCCAGGAGGATTGAAAGTTTGTTGCTTTCCGGGGCTTGGGCTATATCTTTCCCAAGAAGGAGTTGGAGTGGCAAAGAAAGAAAGAACGAGGAAAAAAAAAGGTAAAAACAAAGACAACAAAAAAAGGGGGGTTCAAAATCGTGGTTCCGATGATAGAGGGATACAGCTTTCTGGTGTTTTGGTTGCTTGCGAAAAATGGGAGTTTTTTTTATGCTAGGTAGTTTATCCTAAGTCTAAATTTTCCATCTTCAAACGAACCATTTACATTTCTTTTAATTCCTGTTTCTTTGATTTATGTTTTCTGGCTTAGGGAGGGAGGAAATGGTGAGAACGGGGGATCTTTGTTTGGTCTTTAGTTTCCTTTTCACTCCTAGAATTAATCAATACTTTTTTTTAGAGCTGGCCAGTGTCACTACCGTGCCAATAGTATATCTTTCACATTTCGCGATACCAAAGTACCAAAGGCACGATTTGCGTAGTGTTCATCGTATAGTTAGCCCTGGGGGGAGGAGATCCTCTTAGGCAAGTCCATGGCTCCGGAAGGCGAAAAGCCACGGCGATCAACTTGCTATCCATGGAGAAATCTCGGAGAAACTTAGGTATTGCCCTACCCACGTTCCACAAATTCTGAACACTCCTGTCCGACACGAAAAAGAAAAGGGAACAGGCAAGGCAGAATGCGAGTGATGGCCTATGATGGAACCGAAAAAAAAAAAAAAGTCACTAAAGAGCCAAGGAAAAAAAATATGGTTGTGGGCACTTAGCACATAATGCCCGAAGGCATCAATCAAGACAGCTTGCTTATAAGCCATTTTCAGGAAATACAATAGTATTTATTCATTGGTGTATGCCGAACAGGGCCTTAGAAAAAAAACCTCGAGTTTACTTCCCTCGGCCATGGTTTTCCCTTCCTTCCTTCCTTCCTGCCCGTTAGAGAAGTCCCTTCCTTCCTGCCCGTTAGAGAAGTCCCTTCCTCCTCCTCCCCCGGAGCGAGGCAACCAACGACGGGGTAAATCATCTCCGGTGACTCCCATAGTCACGGCAATATAGCGGGGGGGAGGGACTGTCAGAGGGAGGCGCGGAGAGCAACCTCGCCAAGGGGCATATACATACATAAGTTGTCCAACGTGAAATCTGATTCCACCGTTCGATCGTCCATCGTCCCCCTCCCCATGATACCCTGTCGATTCGCACACAAAAAAAAAGTAAAAGTAAAAAAAAAAGAACCTCCCTCGGGGGAGAGAGTGTGAGAAGGGAAAACCCGTATGATGTTCACAACTGCCGTTATCTGCGCTTACCCAAGCAAGTCATCGTCAGGGGTGGAATATCATACAATGTCATGTACTGTACAGTACTTGTACTAGGGTAATTAATGTCGGTCTGTACGACGAGTTCAATCCCCAATCACCTTCTACCTATATGTAAGCCACAGCCCTAGTGGCGAATTCAACCTTATAGGATCGCACGAGATCCCCATATATATATTATATATATATATATCCGTGTGTGTGTGCGTGTGCGTGATACTGAGCAGTGGGCGTACGGTATTGTATCGGAGCATCACAAGATGCGCTACTCTAGATAAGACTGCGCGTGTACGACCACTTGAGTGAGTGAGTACTACTACCTCTAGACAAGACTGCGCGTGTACGACCGCTTGAGTGAGTACTACGGTTAAATTTTTATTTTTATTCTTATTTTATTATTTTTTTGGTAAGCTTTTTTCCTTCATATATTATAATATATAATATTGTGACCGATGGTGATTAGACTACAGTACCGGTATTAGCATACCGGCATCACGTAACCTATTTTAGCCACAACATCGATGAAGCGGGCCGCCCCGCACGATTCCCGGTGCGGTCCGTTTTTTTTTTTTTTTCCTTTCCTCGGAAATCGAGCCCCACAGAAACTGTCCGCCTAATATCGCTTTTTTTTTTCCCCCTTTTCTCTCCAGACCAGAATACCGGTAGTACCGCTATCGTACTAGATAGGTAGATTATCCTCCCGTTTCACCAGATCCGACAAAGTGGAAGAATCCAGGATAAGCTCCCGTGAACCTTCCCTTGCTTCCCTTCTTTTTTGCTTTATTCCCCCCGCAGCCCTGCCCGTTTTTTTAATTCACTCGCCGAGGGGGAGAGGTATTCTCACCCTCAGGTAAGAAAACATAGGACATGAAAAGTCATGAGACATCACTCGTGTCTTCTGCCCTGCTCTACTTCCCGCCTTACCGATTACGGTGACATATCCGTATGATATGTAGGCAACCATTTTTTTTTTTTCCTTACCCCACCGGCGGTGCCTACGCTACGTTCTTACGTTTTTGTTGTCCTCCTCTTTCTTTCGAGGAGAACAATCATATGTGCGCCGGCGCTGTTGTTGTGTTGTGGTTGTTGTCGTTGTCACTGTCCTGCCTCATGCCTTCTTCCCCTTGCTTATGGCAGGCGCCGGAATGCAGTTATCATGGGTAGATAACTGCTGAAGTCCAGCCTGCCCGCCACGCAGATATGGAGAGGGGAGGAAAAGGAAAAGAAAAAGAAAAATACCCCGCCCTCGATGATTCAAAAAGGGGAGACGTGGTCGGTTTGTTTGTTGTCCCTGATTCATGTTTTTTTTTTTTCTTCCTTCTCTCCTTTCCATTCGGAAACGTGAGGCGTCTGCCTACAGTAATATACCCCTCATACTATACCTCGGTCGACCGGGTAGGCGGGGTAAATTTATCATAGATTTAGTGGAAGGCTTCTTGGAGTTTCGATTTTTTTTTTTTTTTTTGCTACCGTGCTTTCTTTCCTTCCCCCCCGTCTTTCCCCCCTCATCTTATTCTTTTTATTTTTCTCGGTTGGGATAAGCTTTTTTTCTTCATTTCCTCTCCTTTCCTAAAAGTACGAGTAAGTGAAGGGTGGGGTATCATCTGATGTGGTGGGAGGTTGTGTGTGTGTGTGTGTGTGAAAAAAAAACATGACGGTAAGACAGATTTATAAGAAACCCGGGATGAGTTAATCTCTGTACCACGTTTTGTTTTGTGTCTTCGACGAATATTCCTGGCAGGGCTATGGAATACCTTTTTTTCTTCTTTCCACCATCTGGGGCTGCCATGCATCGTTGCATCTCGCGACATCGATGAATTGGTCTTACTTATTCGTTCATTTATTCATTGGTGCGACGAGTTCGTTGTTTTTTCGTCGAGGGATTTTTTTTTTCAGCTACCTGTAGGGGGTCGTGGTTCAAGGCAGTGGCTTTTGGGGATATATATCTTGGTATCATATACCGGCGGAATGCTCCAGTGTACTATGATACTATAATTAGAAGCGTTTTACTTATGTAAATGGATTGTCATGGACACGGTTTTAAGGTTTTCTTGGTATCGCAGGTAACTTAGGTATGATAATTAATTGTTGACCAACGACTGATCCCACGATTGATTGATTCCCCATCGTTGGTCAACAAATCTTCAAAATTCTTGACTCCCCCCAACCACTCGTAATGCTATAGCCTCGGGTGCCAAAGTGAGAGTAAGAAAAGGAATGACTGAGAAAAACAAGTGAAAAGAAGACAAGATACCACCCAACCATGACTGCCCAAAGAAAGAGATCTGTCCAATGAGGCAAAGAAAAAAAGAGAAGTGTCCACCTTGTTATATGAAAAACGAATGAAAGAGAAAACATTAAAACAGTACGCTTCTCCCTTCTCTATGCCGACTCTTCCTCGGTCCTCCCAAGGAACCCAAGCTCCCCCCCCCCCCTCCCTCCCTCCCGGGGGTGGTCAGTAGGTGCAGAGGAGTCTTCTTTTATTCCCCGTTGGGCGTTACGGGGTATACTCGACAACAGTCGCACCTTATGTGCTCGCAGTGCTCGCACTTGTCATGTAAGTCGTATACATAACCGCCTCCAGGACAGTCGGGTTGACAGCAATCCCAGAAAAGCGTTTGCTGCCCCGCCGTCACGCTATCTGGAAGACGTCTGCCTTGACCGGGGCCATTACTGTTTTTTCGCCCAGCAGAATTCGGCGATGTTTTCGAGCCCCCGATATACTCTCGAGGAGAACCGGCTGTGCGAGAGGAATTGGTCGACCTAGGTGAGTCCATATTCCCGTGGGTGAAGTTTTGGTAGCGTAAAGTTCCTCCGATCCTCTGGTTGTAGTTCCGAGCTTGAACGCTCTATTAATGGTAAGTCGTTGTCCTTGTAGAACGCCTACTAGAAAGGTGGTCTGTGCCTGCAGGCAGGCAGGGGCCAACCGAATGCAAGGTGATTGGACTTACATGATCTCCCGCTCTATCGATACTGCTATAGTGCGATAGTTATGGGAGGAACGGATGGTCCTCTTTAGATCTTTTTCGGATTGAAGCTTGAGAGCTAGGGGAGGGGGAGGGTTAAGATTGGAAATTTTGGCAGGGTAAGGCGAGCTAAACTCTGGCGATATGTGGTGAGCTGAGCTGGTCGTGACAGCCAGTTTCAGGAGTGATCTGGGATGATGTCGAAATGTGATTGTGTTGACGCAGGAAGATGGTGCTATATATCCCCAAACTCACGGGGTCCCGTGCAGCTAGTTGAAGAAAGAGGCAATCGCCTGAGGCCCTTAGTTGTGGAGCTTTCCCGCCCTTAGGAACCCACTCTCGACTCCGCACATACCACTCTCATCAAATCCGCCTTACTGTACATAGACTGTAGAGGCAATTTTGGGGGTAGGAATGGACGGTGGGTAAGTCTAGCGGCCCCCCCCCCCCTTGTAACACCTAGTATCATCTAGAGAGAATAATAATGCCTCCAGAAAGGATGACATAGCTGGGCGCAAAACAATCGCACAAACCCCCAGCTCCCCCGCCCAATAACCCAATGCACGGGGGGGGTTGGCGATTCGCACAAAGCACCTGGTGAGTCCTCCGGATGAGTCCTCTCTTTTTCCTCTGCGAGCTGAGGAATGAGTTAATTAGATGGAAGGGAAAGTAGAGAAGGCATCCTATCGAAAGCTAGGTGTTGCGCCCACAAAAACCGTTGCACTCTTCCCAATCACAGCTGCTTCACCACCATCGGCGTCGCAACTTTGGCCCGTGCCCAAATACTCCAAGAGTAAGGCAGGGCAGGCATGGTTATGGGTCCTGGCGGCGCTTAGACCTGACCTCCACCCTCAGCGTTTGCGATGAGGGGAGAACGAGCAATATTAGAGTGGGGAGGGAGGGAGGAAGGAAGGGAGCGGGTTTTCTGATACCACGTTCCATTGGTAGCTCTGGCCTGTGCTCCCCCCGCCCTCCGCCCACTGTTAGGTGAGACACAGTGAAGCCTTGGTGCTTGGCCCGTGTAGGTACGGCCCATCGGTAGTCGCTATTGCCGTTCCACCCCTGGGAAAGGGAAAGGCCGCGCCGCGGATAGCCTCTCTATGATCCTGGGGCATACCTAACG